AAGTGACTAACGTTTAGCCTTATCGAACCAAGGAGTCCGTACCTACCTCGAGTGCTTAACGCGTAGTGTTTGTCCAGTTGGGAGTGACTGGTTGTATGTCCCTAACTACTTAGGTACACTTCGCCTAGTTTCCCTCCCATTTTTAAAAGCAGCCATGTTCTGTTGATCGTATGAAAAACTGTCAAGTCATAAAACATCAAACAAACTGCGTCCTAATTTTTGTTAAATCGACTCGGGAAACTCAATACTATGAAGGCAGCTTAACACGGAAAACGCACACAAAGAAGAGAGTGTCAAGAAAACTATGGCCTTAAACAGCTGACGTTATCAGCATAGTGGGAAATCAGTATATCAGCCAAGGGTTTCCTTGCGATACTTTAACTTCGGAAAATAAACAAAATGCGTTCATTTTGGCAAATTGTTAATCGGAGAATTTCCCATTTCTCCACGCAAGATGTCGGTACCTACACAGGTTGGGAAGTTGCGGTTGGCTTACAATTAAGTCTGCGACTCAGAAATTACCCGTATGCTTATCATAGAGAGTAATTTGGTGTGTTGATAATTTAGGAGTATAACAATCACTCGTAAGTCGTTTCAAACTGCGAATGATTAGCGTGCGCATTTGCAATTTTGGAGCGGAACGATTAGCATGAAATTTAGTGTACAGTTTCCTAAACTTTTGGTGTGTCTTTACATTATACCCAGAGGAAGAAATAAATTCTATTTACGTGCCTGAATGCAATCGAGCGATTAAACAATTCCGAAGGTCTTATTACATGGCGTAAATATAGGATTTGACATACATTTGGCGGGACGCATATTATCATTTGCCGGAAAAAGCAGACCATTTGACAGTTGGAAATGCCAAACTTCATCCTTTCTTAATTACAAGATTGAACTTTTGACAGGTATATGTACCAGGAGACCAGATAACAAGTATGATTACTTTATCCTAGAGCAATACTCGATAAAGTGATTTTGTTTTAAATTTTACATAATTTTTCCGACACTGAAGAAAGTAACTTTGTCTAAAAACGTGGTTGGCCACTTCCAGCTCGATCTTGTTCAAAAACGGGTTTCCCCCTTTTCGCGCTAATAGTTTACGTTTCAAACTGCCGAACATAACATATCAGAGCTTTGTAGGTTATTCCCATGAAAAATGTGAAACAGAACAGAAGAATTGGGCATCCCTGCCAGGACAACGAACAATCTGGACTATCGCAAGTGACCAGTAGTCTATCATGTATAGGTTGCATACGTGTCTCCATCAAGTTCGTGATGGATTTTCATTCCCCAGGCCTTATTAACTGTTTCCTCGCCAGAAAACTGCAAAACGCTATTCAAACCTTTTAGTATTAACTCAGGGGGCCGGGTGTATGTTCTCCTGGTCTCTTCGTTCCATAATTCCCCAGCAAATCCTTTTTTACGGATGTGTGTTCTCCTGAGTTATAGCTTTCTCGGCGCATTTTTCAGTTGCCGCTTTTAGGTAATATCAAAACAGAGTCCTCTATAATTCAAGTTTGGCAAACGTTTTCGGTTATTAATTATCAGACAGGAGGTGTTTATGTAGGCATTAGTGCCCCCGTGGGCGAATACTATCTTCGCATGCGTCTTCACACCTCCTACAACGTCGCGTTACAGCGACGACGCAGCGATAAGATCGAAGTCACGGACACCGTTCCCCTTCCTCCCCCCCCTTTCTGACACCTCACTGGGACTGGAATCGGACCCGTTGATCTCTGAACAGCCTCAACCTCATCTATGTTACTCACCGTTTATTGCATATTTACACATTTGTCACTCTACCTTCCCTTATTTTACTGCTATGGTCCGATGATGAATAATCGATAGCGTAATCTCGCCAAATTTGACTTCTTGAAGGCTTACACGGGTATCAGGCAATGGTTCAGAGGACCAAACAGCATGTTACGTAAGGGCAGAGAGGTGCTCATGGGTCAGTGGGTCAGATTTTAGTCATAACAAGGGACTGGAGAGGGGGGGGAATGGGACTGACAGTTACTTCACGCCACCCCGG